GAATATCCTCCTGTTGAAAATTCCTTTTTTAGGGCATCGGTAGGTGATGACGTTTAGGCAACCGTAGTCGACACTGCTGCCCACCTCCCCTTCCCCCCCCACCCATACGCGCGGAGATTTATTGAATATTTTGACGAATACAATAACCGCCAAGAACAGTACTTTACATAGCAATTTGCACTGATATGACAATTTCCAATTATGTTGCTGCTAACTTGAAATTGAAGGTGTGGTTAGGTCTTCAGTATATAGTAAAAGTAATTTTCTCCTACAAAAGAGGTAGATCGAGTAATTCTAGAAAGTGCTATCGTTCAGAGTTCCTATTGCTGTCTGTTTACGATTCTCAATGTAGGTGCGGTGCTGGTCTACGACATTACGGATACGTACAGTTTCGCCGGACTTGGCGAACACCTGAACGAAATCAAGAGGGCGATGTTCCCTGACGCTCAGATTTCGGTAGCCGGCTCAAAGGCGGACCTGGACATGTTGCGAAAGGTGTCATTTCAAGAGGCGCATACATTCGCCGTCGAACACTATCTGTCGCTGTTCGAAGTGAGCGCTAAGACGGGCAAAAACGTTCTCGAACTGTTTCAAGACTTGGTCGGCTCGATTTTGAAGAAGCACACCTTCGAGGTGTATTCTCCCGTCTCGCTGGAGGTGGTCAACGAGTCGATGCAAGGCTCTGGTTCTTCCCTCATGCCGTGCTGCTGGATCTGAAGTCAAGAAATTAAGGAACTATAGTCCAACAGAATCCGATACTTGAACGTAAAAAGTATGCACAGTAGTTGTGATTGTACGAGGATGCCATTTTCCGTATCCGGTAGCGGATTCTGCTCTCGTCGTTGCCAATCTGCCCGTCCGTAAGCTATATCGTTACCGATACCGACAGATGATGAAGCCAACGGTGATTGTTCCATTATTTTTTTGTTGTCAAGCTTTACTGGAAAATGTGTATCATATCTGTGCCAAATTATTTTTTCTAAATTGTCACAAAACTGACCATGAACTCACGTAATTGTTTTCCACCGTCCTTCTCGACTGATGGTTGCGTACCGCCGCTGTGAAACAAAGGATTGTGATCAAAGAGGTTCAGACCATGGCTGCAAGACCAGTGGCAGCATGTAACAGTAGACGCTACAGTCTCAGACACTGATTCCATGCTCGTAGTAAATGTTAAAAAACAGCGGCACATCACACATCACAAACCAGAGACGATCTACTTATGCAAACGACTTAAGGTGATGACCTCAACAACCCGCGCTCAGTTCTCAGACACACCTTACTTAGCAATCACATCCATGGATAAGACCTTTTGATTACCTCATTTTTTGAGAACAAAAGACCAATCTATCTGCAAACCGGGTTATAACACCTGGGATTCGATAGAAACAATCTTAAATAGCGCAAGCACACAAGCTGAATTCTGAGTTCTAACGGTTAAAATCTGGAGCCATAAAGTAAAACAAAAAAACCTTAGAAATTCAGTAGTTTGACGTTAGTTTCGCCTTGCGCATACAGAGAGCTTATCATAGATACATAACATGGTAAGTTGGATGCAACAGTTGATCGGGGTGACCACAATTATTCACATAGATTCAAACTGGCAACTATCGATCGGCGTCGTAACGGTTCATGCCCAATTGTCTCATTCGGCCTGAAAGTGGTAAGGACCCTGTTTCGGTAGGATGAGGTGGGTCGCTGGCGGCCACTTGCCAATCATATTTTTCGTAACAAGAACCTCACAAAGTGCTCCACTTCTATGAATACATTTTCAGTATAAGAGTACGGAGACAAGGGCAGTAATTCATGAAGGTCGGTATTCTGAATGAACCGTCAAACAATTACTCGCAAATACTTATAGAGATAAACGATAACAGGGAAAATAAGAACAAGCTATCTTGTGAACCTGAACATCTATGACTAGGTAGACCACAGCAAGCTACTGGGCAAAGTGCTCGAAACATCGAACAAGAATTTTTTGGTG